CTTCTTAAGAGCGAAATTAGCGCAAAAAGGGGACGACACGGCTCCAAACGGATGAACTGTTAAACAATATTCCTTAGGCTTTCGTCTTATATCACCGTCTTCCCACCACAATAGACGAAACGCTCTCCTGTCTTGTCTCGGGATCTTTACTTGAAGAAACATCTCTTCAATATCAGCAGCTAATGCTACGTTACCTAATCTAAATCGTAGAAGTACACCGATCAAACTATTTACAGTATTTGGTCCTCTGAAAGGCTGGTCATTAAGAGAACAACCTTGATAGACAGCCGCACAATCAAAAACAATTCTCAATTTTCCAGGCTTTTTAGGGTTGACAACAGGATGATGAGGAATATACCAACAAACAGCATCATGGTCAAATTCTTCTTTACTAGCTTCAGTGATGTAGCCCTTACTTAAATGTTTATTCATCACAACTTGATATTTCTCCAAAAGACTGTTATCTTTCATAAACCCCTTTCTTAAGCATTCTAGTCTGCGTTCAGCTAGTTCCAAATTATTCGGTAGCCTTGGCTTATCATACTTTCATGGTAGACCAACTTGGAAATGACCACCCTCCAATTTAAACGAATCGCCAACTATTTCTAGAGCTTTTTTTATCTTCGACAGAATATCCATCACGAAACGTATCTGTATCTTCGAACTCATGATTATATAATCTTTCTAAATCTCGCAAAATATCATTAGCGGAACAATGACACTATTGAACTTGATGTAGAGACCTTGATACTCCCTTAGGACCTATAATCATCCAACCGAGATGAGTACGCACAGCAAACGGATGCTTCCTGTCCCCCAGACGTTGTTCCAAGACCCAATGTGCATCCGGAGCATCACACCCAATCAATATTCCTACAAAATTACTTCGCAACCTCGGGAGGGTTATGTCCCTTAGGTGTTTCCATCGCTTCAGTTGGAGTTCGTTTAAAGGTGCTGCATGATCAATCGGAAGTTTCTTGGTCGTGTAAACTTTGTTGATCTTTATAGAACCCCGTTCATCTAATGAAAATACCTCTAAATTTACCTCCAAACATTCACAATTGGTAGTCCCGTTCACAGTCGCCACCTTTATCGAAGTCTCTTTACCTTTAATACCCAACTGATTAATTAATTCTTCACATACAAGAGAAGTGTCCGAACCACTATCTAGAAGTGCATATGTTTCCAAACATCCTTTGGGACCGTACAGTCTGACTGGAACGATACCCAAACAAACCTTTGAGGAGTTCCAATCCTTAGCTAAATTCACCATATGACTATCAATACTATCAATATGCAATAATGAATTATGCCTAACCTTGCAATTCTCAACGTGGCACTTGAAGCCTGAGTTGCATGACAGAGCTATGTGACCTTTCCTAAAACATAAGTAACATAGACCACGTTTTCTTACCTCCTGCCTCCTTTCCCTTACATTCATTTTTGCTAACCTTGGACAATCTGTCGTCTCATGATCACCTACGCAGACTTCACAATGTGGTACCTTGACTGAGTTATTTAGGTCTCGTCTAATTGCATGAAAGCGTGATCTCCTATCCACTTGGCCTTCAGAATTCCTTTTACCGAACCTTGAGTTACACTGTACTAATCTACCATAACGGGTTCGGGCAATTCTGGCCCTCTCTTCTACGAAGACCACAAATTCTTCAAAGCTCGGCTCCTTCCCATGCATCATAATCTTATCGGCGACTTCCACCCACTTATTCTGCAATTCTAGTGGTAGGCATGAAACTATTATCTCCAAATTAGCCGTAGAATTGACGTCAGACATGTATCCCATTTCCATCAACGTTATACATATATTACGTAACTTAATCGCAAAGTCAGTTAATACGTCAGCTGATCCTCCGACAGATTTATGGTTTAATAACTCAGTGATTAGTTCTCGTGCAACAAGATGCTCTTTACCAAATAAATCATATAAAATTCGTTTAGCCCTATCATAGTCTAAATGACTGGGCAAAGAAACGCAAGATTCAATTGCTGTTCTAGCCTTTCCTTTGCAATAATATAATAAATACGACAGCAATTGGTTCTTATCTGACAGTTTACTCTGTATAAGGCTATTAAACTGACTGATGAAACGGTAATACTGACCCGGTTGCCCATCAAAATACATCATATCGATCTTAGGTAAAACCATGTTACTAACCATTGTATGTAACGTGTCCTTCAGTTCGCCAACCCAATCGACCTTTGAGATGTTACATACGTTCCCTGAGTGACTATTACACCCAGTATCACAATCCAAATAATTTTCCACTTTAGCATTTATTTCACATTTATCTACAGGTAATCGTTCTTCGTCCTCGACGGCCTTGCATTCTAGTTCGGCGATATCAATCTCTTCTTGAAGATCTAACATCTTAAGTTGCCGTTCCAATTCAAGTCTCTTTTCTAAATTCCTTTTCCTCAGTAATGCCTTATCTAACTTTAATCTAGAAGTACTTAACTGGCTAGAGGACATACTATTAATACTAACATCATCACATTTATCATCATTAACATCAGACATACCACAAACAGCTTTAGAAATTTTACTATCCATTTCGTCATTTTCCTTCAGCCTTTTGCTCCGCGTTTCCATCGTATTGATTGTTCCAAAGCAATCGATTACCAAAACAATTCTGAGTTAATCCACACGAAACCGACCAATAAGATCAGGAAATTGAATCCAAATATCCAGGAAATCCAAGGTATAAACACAGAACCAATAATTGAAGAACTTTATGTTACGTCCAAGTTTTGCTCGTTCTAGTTATTGAAGTACGGACTATCGATCTACTTGCAAATTACGAACCCAAATTAATAACAGAACCAAACTCCAATTTGGATACCAAATTTATTCGTAATTCACAAATAGTCGACCAAATGCCGTTCTTCAATTTTGTAGGTTCCCGGAGCAAAACTCCCAAATACCAAACCAAAGATAGAGAGAGCACCAAAATACCAAACCAAGGACAAACCAAAATGTCCGAAATAATGATATAAACAAACAAGTTCAAAGTTAAGTAAAACAATTACATCCAAAAACACAGTAAATTATTAATGTACAATAAAAAGGTTTTAATTTGCCAAATGTCTTCAGTTCTTCCGTAACAAAGAGTGTTATCTCTGAAAGTACGTCTACCACAAAGTTGAACAAGAACGGAGAGAATGGACAGCCCTGACGAACACCACTTGAGGTAATCAATTCTGATGACAGTTCACCATAAGCTCTCACTCTACCAGTTGTGTTCGAGTAGAGAGCCTTTACAAGGTTAATGTACTTCTTTGGTACTCCTTTCAGTGACCAACACTGCCATAGAACCTTACGATCAACAGAGTCGAATGCCGCCTTAAGGTCGAGAAATACTACCATTGTGGGGCGTCTAAACGTGTGTCTGTGTTCTAGAACCTGACGTAGTGTGAATATCTGATCTATACAACCACGTCCAGGTCGAAAACCGGCCTGGTTTTCTGTAATCTGCTCTTTACGAGCTTTAATTAGGCGTCGAAGTATTATTGAGGCTAATATTTTAGACACTATATTAGTCAAACTGATTCCTCTGTGATTGTCACAAGAGGACTTTTGTCCTTTCTTAAAAACTGGCACAATCAGTGATTGAGACCAGTCAGATGGGATTACATCCAGTTCCCAAATTCTACCTAAGACCTCGGTTAATCTCATTGCTAATACTCGACCACCATCCTTAAAAATCTCAGGAGTAAACTTGTCAGGGCCTGCTGCTCTCCCTCGTTTCAGATTTCCTATGGCTTTTTCAACTTCGTAAAGGGACGGAGGACTTACATCAACTTGCCATTCAGGTTGACTAGAGATCGTGGGAAACCGAAGTGTGGCTGAAGGCCAGTTGAACTGACCCCTGAAGTGTTCTGCCCATCGATCCAATCTCCTGGATTGAGAATGAATAATATGTCCATCTTTCTCTGAGATTGTTTCGCTAACGGTCGGGTTCCTAATTCTGGTTTCCTTAACGAGTCTGAACAATTGTCTGCTATTACCTATTGCCGGTGCCTTCTCCATCTCTCTTGCTTTCGCTACCCACCACTGCTCGCGATCATTGCGTAGACTTCTTGTCTTCTTGCGCTTAAGCCGACTCCGCTCTTCACTATGTTCAGAGCCAGGTGGAATGAGTTTCCGAGCATCTATCAGTGCGATAGATGCTGCTGAGATCCAATGCTGCTCCCTAACCTTCTGATTTACCTTACTAGCAGATATCACTGCTGTTTCCACAGCTTTTCGGATATCATTCCATGCTGCATCGGGGTGGGCATCACATACATGGCTGCCTAACTGTTTTCCTAGTTGTTCCTGAAATTTACTCTTAGCTTGACTATCATTAAGTAGGGCCCTAAGAGGTTTCCTTGCAGCGTCTTTCCAACGTCCAGTAAGACGCAAGCAAATACGCGCTCGTACTAGAGCATGATCTGAATCTAAGCATGTGCTCCACTATTCAATCAACTTCAACTATTCAATCACAATGTACCGGTCATAACGTCGATACCGCTTAACTTCATTTCTACTTTCAAAAATATTACGAAGCTGGAATAGAAACACAATATTACTTTGATAATGAACACTTTTATTGAAAAAAATAAAACAACAGAAGTAACTACCAAGAAAAGATCAGGTTATTTTGACGTAGAACGAGACATGTTTGAACGTATGCACAATAACCAGAAAATTATCAAACCAAATGTCGCAAACAGAATGAAGGCGATCAAAAAAGCTAGCAGAATAAGATCTAGAAAATATGGCGAAAAAAAGTAGGAAATGACAACTTGTGAAATTTTCAACATCATAAAAACAAAACAAAAATGACATATGATTGTAAAAATATATAGGTGTCGATGCATTAAAACGTTAAAGCCTTAATGATATGCAAGGAGATATCAAGCAATAACTATGATTGAACTATTAAAACAACAAATATGAAAAAAAATCAGGTTAATGATGAATGAAGTCAGAAACAAACAAACTAACCTGTATCAGAAGAATTATCACAATTAGAAGATTGATTCAGAGAAGTTTGACATTCGTAATGCGGAACTAAAAAATCGTTTGAATGAACAAGATTTTGATGATTGGAAACTAAAATGACATGAAAAAAAAGTAAAGTATAAATAAATAACAAAATGAATAGCAAAAATATTTCAAGTCTAAATAAATCCATATAAAAATATTAAATAACAGTAAACACGATATAAGAAAACTATAAAACAAGGAGGATAGTATAAAAATTCAATAAAATTTACACAGATCAATGAAAAAAAACATTTAACGCCAAGATGACAGATAAAAAGACTGAAAGATAATACAAGAAAATAAAGAAAAAAATGTATGTCATACGTGAAAAATTACAAAAAATAAAACGACAAAAAAAGAACAAAATACGGATAAAGAAATGAAAAAAAGTGGGGTATCGGACGAAGTTCGCTACTAATTTGACTGGTGTTTCCGACCTTGTGTTGGTTTCGATGTTCTGTCAGGACAACTTATGACATGCAAGTTCCGACTATTAGGCTAAGAGTGAGGACTTGGCGTTCCATATCAATAATAGAAAGGATTAACGAGTAAGATCAGCTTCAGTTATGATGTTATTTGTATGTGTGAACTCTCCGTGTTTCTCTGTTACTTTTACGAACGTAAAATGCATACATCCATCTTCACACTTCAGCCTCTCTTGTATTCGTTCAAACCTGTTTCACTGTGTTACAATTCACCTCACAGTACATTTAATTCATGTTATTCGTCTTTGGAATTTTTAAGGACAGTTCCAGTCTTGGGACAGTAATTAGTTCGTGTCTTACTTGCTAGTCAAACGTACGCTAATTTGCTTTATGGCAAAAATACTATACTGTGTCGACAAACAGTTTGAGTTAGCTCTGTCATTCCACTCTTAATCTCAGCCTTCCTCGGCAGCACGATTTCAACACTCAATTATGGATATAGTAGTACGGTGAATTGGTGAAGTTTGAAATGAAGTAACTGGTTGGATAATTTGGTACGCATGCATGTAATTCAATATGGTTGTCGGTGTGCGGAAGTCAGTTGAACCGGAATGTGAGTGAGTGTGAATGTAGTGAATGAGTTAGTGAACAGATTGATGAGACTCACCTTCGTCCTCGGGCAGTACATTTTGTGATGACAAACTTTCGTCTGTGTTCACTGCTTGCAGTTCAGTTGTTGGTTGTTCAGATGAATCGGTCTGTTCCACGTTTTCTGTTGTAACTACAGAGAAGAACAATTGAGAGGAAATTGAAAATATGCACATGTAGTAAACATTTCCCTTTGTGTCTGTCTCATTATGGAATAACCGAACAGAACATACTTTTCAGCACTGTGTCAGTTGTGATGTAGTGAGTACTGAATGTTCATACTGAGAATGTGATGCTCACTTGTCAATGAGATGGCCTCAGATGAACCTACGTGATAACAGCTTACCGTTTAGCGAGTGCTCACGTAATCTTGGTTGTTCTTGTCTCGAAGTGAGTTGATGGAATGTGGTGCTTGTGTACTACAGCTGCTGACACTTCAATTGAATGATTGTATGAAGTTGTGTTTCAGTGGACACGTTCAGTTGCAATGGCTAGATGTTTGTTTGTTTTCAGATCGAGTGGCAATGCGATCACAGAGCCATTTTGTTAGTGATGGTAGTGTGTGTGCGTCTGAACATGCCGAATATACTGCACAACTGTTGTTCATTTCATTAGAACCGTCAACAATTTGACGAATAACTGTATGGCATAGCTGATTGATATGTCTGTGCTATCGATCATTCTGTCAAGTGGTTCAATAAATCTCGAGGAATGTGGTGACTCGCGTGTTGCTGATGCACACTGAGCACCATGTGCACTGCATATTCACAATGCACATGGGACACAGGTCATCTCGGTCAGTCGAAATGCCACCACATTCGATCGACTGCAACTGGAATCTGTGGATAGGTCGTCCACAAACAGTATGCAACCATTTCGAGATAGGGAGACGCTTCAATGTGACAATGAGCTCCGATTGCAGTCGGCAACCATCGAGATGTTGGGAGAAGTGAACAATACCGTCAGTTGAACAATTTGTAGACATGTTAGGATTGCAAGAATGTCTGGTGTATTGAGTCTAGTATTGGATGAGACGCAAAGTGTGATGTGAACCGTTCTCCTTCGATGCCTGAAACAGTTGTCATTCGGTAAACGTATGAAGCACATACAATGTGACTGTCAAAGAGAGACTAACCTTCAATTGATGGATGCTCAGTTGGTGGAGGCATTGAATGACTTATTGTTTCTGTTTCCGTCTGTGTTGTGCTCCCTCCGTCTTGCTGTCCACCTGTCACATTGGCAGTGGTAACTAGAGAAAAGCATGACACGTGTTTTAAAGTATATAGACATGTATGCATTTGTTCATATTGACTTATATCTTGTCGGCAATCTCACACTTTATCGAATGCTAGTGTACAATACTCTTTCTATATTTCGTCAACGATCCATGTACTTCAACTGCACCATATACTTGTACATGTCGCTTGTAGTAATGGTGTTTTCAAACAGGGTCTGCAAAGTGAGGCTTGGAGTGTGATATACTTGTAATCAATCCATCACTCAAAATGAGTCTAACATCAAAAGAGAAAGTAGATTGTGGTTACTGACAAGGAAACATTGATGTTTTGGGCAATGATTCCAATCCATTCATGTTAGTTGGATAGAAGCTGTTGTTTATCTCAGACCCTTTACTATTAGTGACGAGGCAACCGCCGAATGGTATTGAGGTTGTCCTCCGATGTTCGCTACTTCTTTGACTCGTGTTTCCGACCTTGTGTTGGTTTCGATGTTCTGTCAGGACGACTTACGACATGCAAGTTCCGACTATTAGGCTAAGAGTGAGGACTTGGCGTTCCATATCAATAATAGAAAGGATTAACGAGTAAGATCAGCTTCAGTTATGATGTTATTTGTATGTGTGAACTCTCCGTGTTTCTCTGTTACTTTTACGAACGTAAAATGCATACATCCATCTTCACACTTCAGCCTCTCTTGTATTCGTTCAAACCTGTTTCACTGTGTTACAATTCACCTCACAGTACATTTAATTCATGTTATTCGTCTTTGGAATTTTTAAGGACAGTTCCAGTCTTGGGACAGTAATTAGTTCGTGTCTTACTTGCTAGTCAAACGTACGCTAATTTGCTTTATGGCAAAAATACTATACTGTGTCGACAAACAGTTTGAGTTAGCTCTGTCATTCCACTCTTAATCTCAGCCTTCCTCGGCAGCACGATTTCAACACTCAATTATGGATATAGTAGTACGGTGAATTGGTGAAGTTTGAAATGAAGTAACTGGTTGGATAATTTGGTACGCATGCATGTGATTCAATATGGTTGTCGGTGTGCGGAAGTCAGTTGAACCGGAATGTGAGTGAGTGTGAATGTAGTGAATGAGTTAGTGAACAGATTGATGAGACTCACCTTCGTCCTCGGGCAGTACATTTTGTGATGACAAACTTTCGTCTGTGTTCACTGCTTGCAGTTCAGTTGTTGGTTGTTCAGATGAATCGGTCTGTTCCACGTTTTCTGTTGTAACTACAGAGAAGAACAATTGAGAGGAAATTGAAAATATGCACATGTAGTAAACATTTCCCTTTGTGTTTGTCTCATTATGGAATAACCGAACAGAACATACTTTTCAGCACTGTGTCAGTTGTGATGTAGTGAGTACTGAATGTTCATACTGAGAATGTGATGCTCACTTGTCAATGAGATGGCCTCAGATGAACCTACGTGATAACAGCTTACCGTTTAGCGAGTGCTCACGTAATCTTGGTTGTTCTTGTCTCGAAGTGAGTTGATGGAATGTGGTGCTTGTGTACTACAGCTGCTGACACTTCAATTGAATGATTGTATGAAGTTGTGTTTCAGTGGACACGTTCAGTTGCAATGGCTAGATGTTTGTTTGTTTTCAGATCGAGTGGCAATGCGATCACAGAGCCATTTTGTTAGTGATGGTAGTGTGTGTGCGTCTGAACATGCCGAATATACTGCACAACTGTTGTTCATTTCATTAGAACCGTCAACAATTTGACGAATAACTGTATGGCATAGCTGATTGATATGTCTGTGCTATCGATCATTCTGTCAAGTGGTTCAATAAATCTCGAGGAATGTGGTGACTCGCGTGTTGCTGATGCACACTGAGCACCATGTGCACTGCATATTCACAATGCACATGGGACACAGGTCATCTCGGTCAGTCGAAATGCCACCACATTCGATCGACTGCAACTGGAATCTGTGGATAGGTCGTCCACAAACAGTATGCAACCATTTCGAGATAGGGAGACGCTTCAATGTGACAATGAGCTCCGATTACAGTCGGCAACCATCGAGATGTTGGGAGAAGTGAACAATACCGTCAGTTGAACAATTTGTAGACATGTTAGGATTGCAAGAATGTCTGGTGTATTGAGTCTAGTATTGGATGAGACGCAAAGTGTGATGTGAACCGTTCTCCTTCGATGCCTGAAACAGTTGTCATTCGGTAAACGTATGAAGCACATACAATGTGACTGTCAAAGAGAGACTAACCTTCAATTGATGGATGCTCAGTTGGTGGAGGCATTGAATGACTTATTGTTTCTGTTTCCGTCTGTGTTGTGCTCCCTCCGTCTTGCTGTCCACCTGTCACATTGGCAGTGGTAACTAGAGAAAAGCATGACACGTGTTTTAAAGTATATAGACATGTATGCATTTGTTCATATTGACTTATATCTTGTCGGCAATCTCACACTTTATCGAATGCTAGTGTACAATACTCTTTCTATATTTCGTCAACGATCCATGTACTTCAACTGCACCATATACTTGTACATGTCGCTTGTAGTAATGGTGTTTTCAAACAGGGTCTGCAAAGTGAGGCTTGGAGTGTGATATACTTGTAATCAATCCATCACTCAAAATGAGTCTAACATCAAAAGAGAAAGTAGATTGTGGTTACTGACAAGGAAACATTGATGTTTTGGGCAATGATTCCAATCCATTCATGTTAGTTGGATAGAAGCTGTTGTTTATCTCAGACCCTTTACTATTAGTGACGAGGCAACCGCCGAATGGTATTGAGGTTGTCCTCCGATGTTCGCTACTTCTTTGACTCGTGTTTCCGACCTTGTGTTGGTTTCGATGTTCTGTCAGGACGACTTACGACATGCAAGTTCCGACTATTAGGCTAAGAGTGAGGACTTGGCGTTCCATATCAATAATAGAAAGGATTAACGAGTAAGATCAGCTTCAGTTATGATGTTATTTGTATGTGTGAACTCTCCGTGTTTCTCTGTTACTTTTACGAACGTAAAATGCATACATCCATCTTCACACTTCAGCCTCTCTTGTATTCGTTCAAACCTGTTTCACTGTGTTACAATTCACCTCACAGTACATTTAATTCATGTTATTCGTCTTTGGAATTTTTAAGGACAGTTCCAGTCTTGGGACAGTAATTAGTTCGTGTCTTACTTGCTAGTCAAACGTACGCTAATTTGCTTTATGGCAAAAATACTATACTGTGTCGACAAACAGTTTGAGTTAGCTCTGTCATTCCACTCTTAATCTCAGCCTTCCTCGGCAGCACGATTTCAACACTCAATTATGGATATAGTAGTACGGTGAATTGGTGAAGTTTGAAATGAAGTAACTGGTTGGATAATTTGGTACGCATGCATGTAATTCAATATGGTTGTCGGTGTGCGGAAGTCAGTTGAACCGGAATGTGAGTGAGTGTGAATGTAGTGAATGAGTTAGTGAACAGATTGATGAGACTCACCTTCGTCCTCGGGCAGTACATTTTGTGATGACAAACTTTCGTCTGTGTTCACTGCTTGCAGTTCAGTTGTTGGTTGTTCAGATGAATCGGTCTGTTCCACGTTTTCTGTTGTAACTACAGAGAAGAACAATTGAGAGGAAATTGAAAATATGCACATGTAGTAAACATTTCCCTTTGTGTTTGTCTCATTATGGAATAACCGAACAGAACATACTTTTCAGCACTGTGTCAGTTGTGATGTAGTGAGTACTGAATGTTCATACTGAGAATGTGATGCTCACTTGTCAATGAGATGGCCTCAGATGAACCTACGTGATAACAGCTTACCGTTTAGCGAGTGCTCACGTAATCTTGGTTGTTCTTGTCTCGAAGTGAGTTGATGGAATGTGGTGCTTGTGTACTACAGCTGCTGACACTTCAATTGAATGATTGTATGAAGTTGTGTTTCAGTGGACACGTTCAGTTGCAATGGCTAGATGTTTGTTTGTTTTCAGATCGAGTGGCAATGCGATCACAGAGCCATTTTGTTAGTGATGGTAGTGTGTGTGCGTCTGAACATGCCGAATATACTGCACAACTGTTGTTCATTTCATTAGAACCGTCAACAATTTGACGAATAACTGTATGGCATAGCTGATTGATATGTCTGTGCTATCGATCATTCTGTCAAGTGGTTCAATAAATCTCGAGGAATGTGGTGACTCGCGTGTTGCTGATGCACACTGAGCACCATGTGCACTGCATATTCACAATGCACATGGGACACAGGTCATCTCGGTCAGTCGAAATGCCACCACATTCGATCGACTGCAACTGGAATCTGTGGATAGGTCGTCCACAAACAGTATGCAACCATTTCGAGATAGGGAGACGCTTCAATGTGACAATGAGCTCCGATTGCAGTCGGCAACCATCGAGATGTTGGGAGAAGTGAACAATACCGTCAGTTGAACAATTTGTAGACATGTTAGGATTGCAAGAATGTCTGGTGTATTGAGTCTAGTATTGGATGAGACGCAAAGTGTGATGTGAACCGTTCTCCTTCGATGCCTGAAACAGTTGTCATTCGGTAAACGTATGAAGCACATACAATGTGACTGTCAAAGAGAGACTAACCTTCAATTGATGGATGCTCAGTTGGTGGAGGCATTGAATGACTTATTGTTTCTGTTTCCGTCTGTGTTGTGCTCCCTCCGTCTTGCTGTCCACCTGTCACATTGGCAGTGGTAACTAGAGAAAAGCATGACACGTGTTTTAAAGTATATAGACATGTATGCATTTGTTCATATTGACTTATATCTTGTCGGCAATCTCACACTTTATCGAATGCTAGTGTACAATACTCTTTCTATATTTCGTCAACGATCCATGTACTTCAACTGCACCATATACTTGTACATGTCGCTTGTAGTAATGGTGTTTTCAAACAGGGTCTGCAAAGTGAGGCTTGGAGTGTGATATACTTGTAATCAATCCATCACTCAAAATGAGTCTAACATCAAAAGAGAAAGTAGATTGTGGTTACTGACAAGGAAACATTGATGTTTTGGGCAATGATTCCAATCCATTCATGTTAGTTGGATAGAAGCTGTTGTTTATCTCAGACCCTTTACTATTAGTGACGAGGCAACCGCCGAATGGTATTGAGGTTGTCCTCCGATGTTCGCTACTTCTTTGACTCGTGTTTCCGACCTTGTGTTGGTTTCGATGTTCTGTCAGGACGACTTACGACATGCAAGTTCCGACTATTAGGCTAAGAGTGAGGACTTGGCGTTCCATATCAATAATAGAAAGGATTAACGAGTAAGATCAGCTTCAGTTATGATGTTATTTGTATGTGTGAACTCTCCGTGTTTCTCTGTTACTTTTACGAACGTAAAATGCATACATCCATCTTCACACTTCAGCCTCTCTTGTATTCGTTCAAACCTGTTTCACTGTGTTACAATTCACCTCACAGTACATTTAATTCATGTTATTCGTCTTTGGAATTTTTAAGGACAGTTCCAGTCTTGGGACAGTAATTAGTTCGTGTCTTACTTGCTAGTCAAACGTACGCTAATTTGCTTTATGGCAAAAATACTATACTGTGTCGACAAACAGTTTGAGTTAGCTCTGTCATTCCACTCTTAATCTCAGCCTTCCTCGGCAGCACGATTTCAACACTCAATTATGGATATAGTAGTACGGTGAATTGGTGAAGTTTGAAATGAAGTAACTGGTTGGATAATTTGGTACGCATGCATGTAATTCAATATGGTTGTCGGTGTGCGGAAGTCAGTTGAACCGGAATGTGAGTGAGTGTGAATGTAGTGAATGAGTTAGTGAACAGATTGATGAGACTCACCTTCGTCCTCGGGCAGTACATTTTGTGATGACAAACTTTCGTCTGTGTTCACTGCTTGCAGTTCAGTTGTTGGTTGTTCAGATGAATCGGTCTGTTCCACGTTTTCTGTTGTAACTACAGAGAAGAACAATTGAGAGGAAATTGAAAATATGCACATGTAGTAAACATTTCCCTTTGTGTTTGTCTCATTATGGAATAACCGAACAGAACATACTTTTCAGCACTGTGTCAGTTGTGATGTAGTGAGTACTGAATGTTCATACTGAGAATGTGATGCTCACTTGTCAATGAGATGGCCTCAGATGAACCTACGTGATAACAGCTTACCGTTTAGCGAGTGCTCACGTAATCTTGGTTGTTCTTGTCTCGAAGTGAGTTGATGGAATGTGGTGCTTGTGTACTACAGCTGCTGACACTTCAATTGAATGATTGTATGAAGTTGTGTTTCAGTAGACACGTTCAGTTGCAATGGCTAGATGTTTGTTTGTTTTCACATCGAGTGACAATGCGATCACAGAGCCATTTTGTTAGTGATGGTAGTGTGTGTGCGTCTGAACATGCCGAATGTACTGCACAACTGTTGTTCACTTCATTAGAACCGTCAACAATTTGACGAATAACTGTATGGCATAGCTGATTGATATGTCTGTGCTATCGATCATTCTGTCAAGTGGTTCAACAAATCTCGAGGAATGTGGTGACTCGTGTGTTGCTGATGCACACTGAGCACCATGTGCACTGCATATTCACAATGCACATGGGACACAGGTCATCTCGGTCAGTCGAAATGCCACCACATTCGATCGACTGCAACTGGAATCTGTGGATAGGTCGTCCACAAACAGTATGCAACCATTTCGAATTAGGGTGACGATATCCTTTTATTCCTTATCGGTCGACATTTCTCGACATATTGTTGATATTTTTTATTGCTAATATTTTTCCTCTTTGTATCTTTCCGAAGCATTTTAACCTCTTTCTTCCTTATTTTGTTGTGTTTTTTTTTTCATTATATATAATTCATATTTAATTCTTTCTTACGTTTTTGTATGTTTTCTTTCTCATCTTTTCGAGGAATTGGTTTTATCAATTTTGTGTCGACTGTCACTAAAAAAAATAATCAACATAAACTTCAATTTATATCAATAGAACATTTATTATTCTTATTAGATTTTGAACAAGAAGTCACATAATGCCAATCGATTGTTTTTTCAATATAAAATTACAGAGCTCTTTAGTGAAATGTGAACACTGATCCATTGAATATTTCATTCCCATGTTTCCATTAATTATCCTTCATGATTCTTTCAATTCAAAATAGCTTTCTATTTGCTTATTTGTTTGTTTATTTCAACTTAATATTTTTAGACTTCTGTTACTATGCATTTAACTTCTGATTGGTGTTATATACTATTCATATCCTTCGATATAAGTAGCATACACTACAATCAAATCTTATACACCATAGTTTCCTTTAGTTTACATGTGGTTATGTAAGTAGGCTTATAAAATACATTTAGTAATATTATCATTACTGTTATGGTTTTCATTGCTGCTATGGACTATCATGATTTACATTCTTATTGTGTGATCTTTACCTAACTGAGTTATTTAATTTACTGTAGGCTTCCATTTGACTCAATAGTTATTACTGTACATATTATTATTACAAGCTACACCCAGCATGATTCACTATTACATTTGACCTGTTCATGTGTAACTCCTCCTGAAGTCTGTTTTGGGCTACTGCCCGTCCCAAGCCCGTATAAAGAAGGACGATTGAGTATGGGGTTAGCGACCCCATCCTGTAGTAAACTAACTCGCCGGAAAAATGCTAACCAGAAAAATTATTCAAGTAAGTGTATAACTATAATTTTCTATTTGATAATGTGATATAGTCTAATATTTGTGTATATAAATTCATGAATGCTTGGATTGATAATAACAGAAAGTTAACTTTTGTCTTTTTTGTTTTCTTGCTTGAACTTAGGTCTAGGAATCAACAGATCAATAGAGTATAATCAGAGAGGGGTTTTGTGTATATTATAGTAAATTAATAGTTGAATTCATGAGTCAAACTAAGGTAGACGGATGGTGGCGCAACTTCGTACACCTGTTGAAGTTAGACATTAACACTGTTGAATGCCAGCCAGCTCAGTGGTCGACAGGTTAAGTGCTGGCGCTCAAGACTGATAAATTCTGGGTTCTAATCTCATGGGGCGGGGTCATGGATATGCATGTTTGAGGAGTCTTATACTTGGGCGAAACGTCTGTCCAGTGCTCGCAGGTTTTCCATGGTGATCTAGTTTCAATTGACTCATGAATTCAATTATTAAATGATCAATATAGGTTTGATATACACAAGCTTCAAGTGAAGAACAATGGTATTAATTGGATGGAATAGGAATTGAAATTGGCGAATTCTTACCATTCACTTTAAGTTGGGTGATTTTCAAGGATGATATTTCGTTATTACGAACATAATCAGATTTTAACTTATCCATTATTGAATCGATATTTAGTTTTTGTGCATTAGAATATAAAAACTTCGCTGACAGCGCGGCTACCACTCCATGAAACACTTTAGATTCTGAAAACTGAATATTTGCTTTAGAAAGTATAATTTTTCCAAATGTTCCATCATCGGATCCTGGTGGAATAGCCAGTTTAACCAATTTTCTAATCTAAATAATAACATTGATATATTTCATGTGTAACATATTTATCAGAGTTCGATATTAAAAATTCAAATTTACTAATATTATTCTTTGTAAATAATAATGAGTTAGTGAATACCTCCTTTCGTGGTTAAGAAATGGTACCGTCGGAACAATACACAGTTCTGTTCTATTACACTTGATCGATAGTGATCATGTAGTAAACATAAATAGATCATTTAAAGTGAATTGTCGTATTCCTACTAGTTATCTTTATGGGGTTCGATCTCGTCTCTTACTGTTGTGATATTCAAGAAAATATCCCAAAAATTATGCTATTAAGTCTAATGCTATTCTTGGACTTGGACATGGTATGATTTTCTTATTGGTCAGTACTTATTTCACGTGTCATTTTCCTACTGGTCAATATTGTACAATGTTATTTTCTATTTTATGGTACGATGTAGTCTGCTTGATTAGAATATAAACAGAGTGTGTTTGAAATATAATGATTCATATATCCGAGGCTATGACTTGCGTTCTGGACTCAACTGGCTGGGCTAGACAGGGAAGCGGGACCAATCAGAACCCTAGGCCGTTCTTACGTGTTTGCGTGTCTTTGGTCCGATCGATAATTCGCTACCCTCTAATCTGCTGACGTCACAGTTATAGCACTTACACATAGCAGAAGATATAGGAATTCCGGCTAACCATCCAAGTCTTCGTGTTTATAAGAAATTCGTGTTTATCTCTTCCTTGGCCTTAATAAATGGTTTTATTTATGAATATTTTCCATACTCTTTGCCCACTTATTTTTCTTCACCCCCCACACTTTTTTCAAAATATACGCTTCATTCTAAGTAAAGATGGATAGTGGTTAGCAGTGAAATCCAGTTTGACAAGCGTTTAATCTTATTTGGGATACGTCATCTGGATGTCCCTTCATCTCAGAGTTGAGTTTCACTCTGGGACTCGAATCCAGTACTGCTCGCTTCAAACTCCATCGCGTTATCCACTTTAACTACTACTGAGTTGTGATAGCCATTTGCTTGTGCAATGAGGTGAAGTTTAAATTCACTTGATATTGTTTGGCTTGTATCTTCCCATTGATGTTTAAAACTGTAACTGATCAATCTTTTATTGACATAACCACCCTATTCTTTGCATGAATATTCATTATACATGATAAATAATAAAAATGAACATTACCAAGCGACGGATAGTAATAGTTAGTTGTATGTATTGATTTGATTGAGGATCTTCATAAATAGGATTCCATTTCATCGGTTGATCTTTTTTTGCATTTGCCAATAAAGCTTCAGTAATTTTAATATCCACTTCTGAAGAAAAAAAATTGTAAAAAATAGATTAAAATACCGGTTTAAATATAACACAATAATAATCTTATGAGATAGGCAATCAATTATAGAATATTGATGACGTGTAGCTACTTCTTAAAACAGTAGTACTGCTGAACCATCTACATCCGATGTCACACCGGAAGCCGCTTGTGCCACCTCCCCTCCCCGTCGACAGCACCCGCCACAGCCAAAGCCGCCCCGCCAGACGCCAAGCCCCCGCACCAGACTGCGCCAAGTGACACCTCAGCTGCAGACCCGTAACGACGTTCGCAGAACGGCACCCCTTCTCTCCTGGTTGGCAGCAACACCAAATGGAGTGAACATAACACTGGTGGAGACAATCGAATGTACTGAACACAGCATTACAGAGCACCTGAATAAAATTTGAGAACCATATATGGAATCATTAATTTGCAAAATTTCCACCAATTGTCCCAAGATGCTTCAAACTTCATTGTCCTTGAATTTTCATACAAATTACATTTTATTCCCACCCTTGCTTTCTTGATGTTCCCCCATCTTCTGCTGCCAGACATTACATTCCTGACTCGCGTCATATACTACTTATATCAATATAAGTAGCACGCATTACAATACTTATTATTCTAATGTTGTAGACTATTGTTATAATTTGTGGCTTCTGTGCCCTGTTATTATTATCACGTAATGATATCGCCAATTAGAGTACAGTGAATTATCGATCGGACCAATGACGTCTAAAATCCGTGCGAGCAGTCTAGAGTACTTATCGGCCCTTCTTCCAATATAGCCCTGACTGTTAAGTCCAGAACACCAATCTTAGCCTTTGAGATATGAATCATTTATTTTAAGCATACTGGGTGCATATACTAGACAAACAGACCATATCGTGCCATGAAATAAAAAACAACATCTATACAAGGTTTGGCGAAATGTGGCTATGAATGTGAGAGGTAGTAATTAATGGACAGAGCATAATTCAAGCATGGTAAATTATATAATAACACTTCATAGGTCAAAATAACTCTCATAATAAGAGGGACATGAATATTTACAGTTTAGTTACTTGACAATTATACGATAAATATATACGCATAGTATTGGTACGTAAATGGATCCCAAAAGTTACCATTCAGTATTCTTATCGGTACATAACAACTATGCTGATGTTTATGTATTACTATTTATCAGAATGGGAGGTTTTTATGAAGATTGTAGTGATTTGAATAGTCGAATTCATGGGTGGCGCAAAATCATGAATCGATTAAAGTTAGACATTAACACTGTCGGATGTCGGTCATCTCAGTGATCGAGAGGTTAAGCGTTCGCGCGCGGGACCGATAGCCCATTGGTTCGAGTCCCACATGTGAGATTGTGGATGTGCACTGCTGAGAAGTTCCATGCTAGGATGAAACGATCGCTCAGTACTTCCAGGTTTTCGATGATGAATCCAACTATTAAAATAATACTGTTTAGTTTAAGAATTAGTTACAAATCATATATTGAATTGAACAGTAGCGTGCATCACTCCACAGATTAGTTCTCTTATGTTTTACTTAGAATTCGTTGAAAAGCTATTAGATTTTTCATATTCACCTTATAATGATGAACTGAACATTGAGAAGTATACAGTTTATTTATATTATCATTTTTGTGGGTTCGATCTGCGCTGAACTCCATTGAGTTTTTGTTTTATTCAGTCTATTTATGAAAAGTTTTACTCACAATATTGTGTTATATAAATTCACTTGGTGTTGTTTATTTGTATCTTTCAATTGTTGTTTAAAACTGCAACTGATCAGTCTTTTGTTGGCATATGTGCATCCTGTGTGGACTGCCTTGATATGGTGTTAGGTCACAAGTTTTATGAGCAAACATGGAAAGTGTTTAACAGTGGAATTAAGAACGCACGTTTCGTCCTATTTGAGATTCGTCATCTGGATGTACCTGCATCTCAGAATTGGTGTTCACTCTAGGACTCGCTTCAAACTCCATCGCGTTATCCATTTTAACTACTACTGAGTCGTGATAGCCATTTGCTTGTGCAGTGATGTGAAGTTTAAATACACTTGGTATTGTTTTACTTGTATCTTCACATTGAGGTTTAAGACTGCAATTAATCAGTTTCTTATTGGTATATGTGCATCCTGTGTGGACTGCCTTGATATTGCTTTAAGTCATAGGCTTTATCAGCAAATACAGATAGTTTGATGACGCGTGTTTTTTCCTATTTGAAACTCGTCATCTGGATGTACCTGCATCTCATTGTGAAACGAGATTATTATGAACAAATCATACACCCAATTTGATTGAGAATAGTTGTATTTTGTAGCATTTCTTAAAAACAATCTTCCTTTAAATTTATCTCTCAAGTGTTTTGTGTCATACGACTGAAATAAGCAATCCACACGGTATTTTCGTAAGATATCTATCTGAAATATTCCCACTCTCATTTAGTCTTTTGAAATTCCATTATGTATGATATTTCATACATCTACTTACAGTTGTTCAAAAACGTATACATGTCATTACTAAATCATGATAGCCCCCAAGTGTCCTGGTACGGCCGAGGGTGGGGCGAGTCAGCTCTCCCTCTCCAAATGCTAGCAAACAGCCACGAGTATACAGCCACTGTCAGGGAAGCCCTACTTACTGCCTTCTCGCAGTGGGGGTGTTGCCTACGACGTTGAAAGAAGAAAAAGCTTTAGATGGGATGGTGGATATGGAGGATTCACAAAGGGGAGTCGCAATACCATGATTCAAAACTAATGTTTCACACGGGCTCCAAGATCCTGAGCGAACAAATGGCATATGTAGCAATTATTGATCGCCGGCTACCATGGGACTGGATCTCCTGATGTTGCTCCACTGCTTTGTGGATTAGACCTTCGGGTCAAAGGCTCAGGATGTGGCCCTCTAATAAAACCACCTGCTTTAGTCCGAGCACTCGGATAGTATCATAATCCACAAACAAATCAAGTGATTTTTGTGGCACATATGTATTCGGTGCCACTTTGTTCCAATATTCATGTGTTCGTATTTATATCATGATCTTGAAAATAATGTTATTGAATATGTTGGAAGAGTTACAAAAATATCCCTCGTCAAAGTTTATAGGGGTTCGAAAATTCCAGAAAACGTTTTATCCAATTAGTATTGGATAGAATCTTTGCAAACAAATCTAGAAAATACAAAACCACGTTCCATAATTCTGATTGGATACTGACCTATGGCTGTTACTATAGTTATTAAAGTTCCAGAAATTTTCAGAAGCTTAAAACCATGTGTAACCATCTAAATACTTTTGTCTTTCTGTACATTTTGTAAGCTTATAGTGAAGAGTTCTTCATACAATCTACTCCTTTTACTTTTGTGTAGATTTAGACTGGGTTTTTTAATGAGCTGCTAGGAAATCGGATTAAGTGTTCATTTAGGTAATACGTTCAAACAATTTATGTCAGTACTAGATACTTTGAACTTTCAGTGTCATTATAATCTGATAATAGTTAATAATTCAAATGCTAAGATAAATCATATGATTGTATGTGCTACTGATGTCAATAGATATAAGTAGTATATATCATCAATCCAAAATGAAATACCTGACGGCAGAAGATAAAGAAGATCAAAGAAAAGAGAACTAGAACTAAGAATAATTGATCTGAAAACATAAGAACAACGAAGTCTGAGACAATTGACTGACATTTTGCAAATGAACTATTAACTGTATGAATTCACTTGATGTTGTATACTGTTATCTTTCTATTGTTGTTAAGGACTGCAATTGATCAGTCTCTCTTATTAGCATTTGTGCATCCTGTACGGACTGCCTTGATATTATCTTAAGTCATAAGCTTTATAAGCAAAGATGTATAGTGATTAGTAATTGGAATTCAGTTTAATACGCGTTTCGTCCTATTCGGGACTCGTCAACTGGATGTATGGATCTTAGATTTGACTAAAAGATTCTGTAATTTTGTATTCAAACACATTTGATTGTCATCGTTTGTGTTCTTGTTCACTACAATACTAATTCATCATTGAAATAATACAATCTATGGTATTATTTATGTTAATATGATGATTAAATAAATAAGTAAACAAATACATTCCATGAAATAACTGAAGTAATAACCAAAACAACAACAATTTACCAGTTTTTCCAATGCCAGTAAGTTGATCAGATGATTGTTGAACTTTAGGTTTATCAACAGATGGAGATCGATTTGACAATACTTCAACATTATATACTACTGATAAAATGTTCATTATAATGAGTAGTTTCATTTCTATGAAAATAAATATGATTATTAGGGTTATACAATATAATTAAAATGAACCTATTGTATCCTTGAATAAAAATTATTAAAAAAATACAACAACCAGAATTCAAAGAGGAAAATTTTCCCTTCGACGAAATAGTTTCTTTTTTCTTATTTCTTGATCGATCTTGACGATCAATATTGATTGATCAACAGTTAAGATGTTAACAGTTAAGGAATCAGTATTTGAATAATGTCTATCCTTTACGATACATATTGCCATTAACCATGATGTATCTGATGAGTCTGTTTTGTAACTTGTACAGTGGAATATAATCTTTTCATAAACATCAGTCAGTCAGTCAGTCAGTCAGCTACAACGTAGGTCAAAGTACATATATGCATCGTTCCAAGTTGCCATATCTCATTAGCACAACAAGATAAACACTGGATTCATATAGGTGGTTGCTTCAGCGGTAGTAATATATAAAAGAAGGATTGTGTATAAAGATATAGTACAGGTAGAAATAATTATTTGGCAGAAAAAAAGATAAAGCAACTATAATCTCATAGTTTAAGGTAAGATAGAGAGTGTATACACCTACACCATTGTGATGGATTGTGAGCTATGACACCCAGTCTCCAACTATTGGTTACGATATTCGCATGGACCCCAATCAAGTAAACTGCATATACCAACATGGCTCAGATTAGTAGTTAGTGACTTCAAGCACTGATGCCACATTTTCATAAACATACCTGAATAGGTTATGAGACTAATAGGCATAATGATGAGTTGAAATAAACAAGGAAACACATAGCTTGTTGAAATATCTAGATAACAGGAATAGGTAGCCAAGTTATTTAAGCAGGTCACCGAAATAATTCGAGACTCTTATTATCAAATGAGGTTATGTAATAATCAAAGGCTAAGAGAAGAATATAAGGATGAAAATAATTTACCGATCAGAATTATGAAATATAGTTGTCCAATTCACAGATATGTAGGGTAGCTTACATTGACCGCACAAAGCGACCACTTTCTAAACGCATTTTACATTATTACTAGTTCAATACAGGAGCATATAATCAAATATTGACAAATCACTCCGAGGAAATCTTCTCTTAAAATAATCTACACAGTCAAAGGAATTGAATAGTAGGGAGGTCGAGTTAAAAACGTATACACTGCTGAGGCATTGGCAATCCACCAACTCAAGTCCGAACTCTACGTGCCAAACCAATACGTCTAACCTTTCATCCTGCCTTGCTCCTAATTCACTTTTGTGGTATGTTTTGAGTTACTATTATTATTCGATTTTTAAAGTTGGTGTTTCGTAATTTTGAAACGTAATCAGTTATCATTCCCTTAAATTGACAATTATGTTTCATAATTCTGACCCATAAATTATTTCCATCCTCCTATTCTTTTCTAATCCCCCTGATTATTACGTAACCACATTTGATAATAAGAGTCTTGAATCAATTTGTGATACAATCTTTTCTATGCTTCTATGGACATATATATTTAATTTTAATGGTTAGATTCATGAGTCTACTGAAGTTAGACCATTATGGAAAACCTGGAAGCACTAGACGACCGTTTCGTCCAATCGTGGAGCTCCTCAACTGTGCGCATACACAATCCCACCTCTGGAGACTTGAACGCGGGACCTATCGGTCGCGCACGCGCACGCGAACGCTTAACCTGTCAACTACTGAACTGGCCGGTATCCAACGATGTTAATATCTGACTTCAACTAGTCGACATATCCACCAATGTTTTCAGTGAGTTACTATCTCACAACAGTTCCGTTTAAACACCAGTGTACTTCCATTATTACTGCTCACGCATTACTGTTTTATTAACGAAGATAGTATACATTACTATCCGATATGTTATCATTAAAAAGGATTGTTGATTTGAGTAGACGACATTTCATCTATTAATCGATATAACTAATTAAGGATGCCCTCAATTTTTTTGAAGTTTAAACAATGAGACGATAATTTATGGACGACCTTTAAGAGACTCTAAAGTGACCTTGAAATTGTCCACCTACTCACTAGAGTTAAATAAAGGTTATGAATCAGTGTGTTTGGAATGAGAATTATAATTTACAATTCATGGTTAAGATTAGGAATTCGATTTACAATTTCTATCACAAACTGGCATCAGATTAAATGCCAAAATCATATTTAACCAAATTAATGAATGAATTTCATGCCGAAATTCAAGATCCAGTTTTGTTATATCGAATTGGTTCGTTCATAAATTATAATCTTCCTATGTAGTAGTATCTGGTAGCTGAAATTCTTTTCAGTTGCATTTACGTACAGATTATATCCCTTAATACATGTACCATATCATACATTCATATGCGATAACATTTTCTGATAATTATCTGAAAGGGGGGTTTTATGGAGATAATAGTAATTTCAATAGTTGAGATCATGAATCAATTAGAGCTAGACCATCGTGAATCCATAGTATGGAATTCCTCAGCAGTGTGTATCTACGATCTTGCTTGTTAGATTTAACATCACAAACTCATTTCAAGTTAGTCAGTCAGTCAATTCCCGACCGTTGTTGCTACCTTGTCGTGGTGGTCGGGCTTGCCTGTCGTGATGAAGCAACCGAGCTATACTGGCTGGAACAACCGTTCCTCAAGGTCCTACCATATCAGACAGGTCGGTTGAAGAGCGGTAAGACTAAAAGCAACAAGCCTAAGGTCTGAAGGCGAAGTCGTACTGCTGACTGTACAGAGGTGTGACGGCAGTAAGGTGTTTCCTTCAGACAACCAGCATGACAGCGATGTTGCCTTTTCACAAGGAGGGGTGGGGTTAGAAGAGGTCGACCCTAAAAATGGACACCTCACCTTACCTCACGGATTTCCGTCTCCGGCCGTAAGGCCCTATGAAGAACGGAGCTAACACGTCAAAAACCTACCACAAAAAGGCCGTGCGCGACCGGCCTCAAGCAGTTGTCCTTTGGGCTCTGCGGTCACGCTCCCAGGTCGTCAAGACCAACACTAATCCAATTTCCTTTTCAGGTTCCTCAAGAAATACCCTTTCACGGTGTGGGCAACCGGGAAGTGATAACCGCCCTCATACGTCTAACAGCACGCAAGACCAAGACTTAGTCAGTCAATTACAACGTAGGACCAGGCACATATACACATAAGTCTATATTGCTATACCTCATTAGCACAATAAGATGAACACCGAAATCATAGAAGTATTTACTTCAATGGTAGTAATATAGAAAAGAAGGATTGTGTATAAGAATATAATACAAGAAGAAAGAATTAGTACATAAAAGATAAAGTATAAAGTAATTGTAATCTTATGGTTTAAGAAAAGACAAAGAATGTATTCACGTACACCACTGTGATCGATTTTGAGCCATGTCACCCGGAGTCTCCAACCATTGGTCACGATAGTCAGCGCAAACCTCAAAGTTAGAAAATCATTAAAAATCTGAAAGATACTGAAAGACAATCTTTGGTGTTGAATTACTATACATTGGAAATCATGAATGAAAAGGATATAATAAATACTTAGATACAGAATAAATTATTGTGTTCTTGAACAGATCAAAATTGTATAAGAGAACATTTTAATGTAACGTAGAATAACATGCAAACAATAACATAAAATGTATTGACAAAATATTTCAACACTAATAATCAGAAAGGGGATTTTGTGAAGATTTTTAGTAATTTTATAGTTGAATTTACGAATTAGATATTAATACCATTGGATACAAGCCAACTCAATGGTCAATAGATTAAACGTTCTCGTGCGAGACCGATAGATCTTGAATTGGAATCTAGCAAGGTGGGATCGTGAGGAGTATCATACTGGGATGAAACACCCATTCAGTGCTTTCATTGTTTTTCATGGTGATCTAGCTTTAATTAACTTATGAATCTAACTATAAAGTCACTAATAATCATCGAATGGATAATAATAAGAATAACAATAATAATATTAATAAAGAACTTACTTGCAACTGTTAGAATGTGTAAATATTTACAGAAGAATGTGATCTATTCACAGTTACTTATTGTTTCTAATGAAACTATTCTGTCGTCTTTACAAACCATAGAGGTTTATATACATAAATAATAATATGTTGCTACATTTATTTGCCAATAAACAACCCACGTATGTGCGTGTGTGCGTGTGTGTGTGTGTGTGTAAGTTGAATAACCGATTTCTGCATACTACGCAACTATAACCGGTGTTTCAACCAACAATTTTTTGAATAAAAAAAAAACAACAAGAGAAAGTTATATCACGGTTACGATAGCAACTGAAGTTAGTGACCAGAATTAGTCAAAATTAAAAGTTAGACAATTATAAGAGAAAGTGATCATTCAATACAGAATAATAATAATAGTTCTTTTACTTTACATGTTGATTAGAACGTTTGATATGAATTGATTCTTAACCTATTTGCATTGTCTAGGTGTATTTGGATTCATGAACTTAGTCGTTTCAATCACAATTAGTTTGGTAGAGTAATGTGTTTTGTTGATGGACTGTTTTTAGTCTTTGTCTTAAAATCATATTGTTAGATTCACCTCTAAATAGTAAAGAGATATAAACAGTTACCTTTGGAACAGAATGAAAGAGAGATTTCGGTGTTGACTTACTTTTGCATCTATTTATAAATTTCAGTGGATAACCATTTGATATTAGTATACCAGTCAGTAGTTTTGAACCTTCTTCAACTATTCTGTGAAACATATTAAAGATGCAGTTAACCAAGCCTTGCCCGAGTTGTGATGGATAAACTGTATTATAGTTCCATCCTTTCTTCAACTCAAAACTATGTCTTGAAAGTGCAAACAGTTAATGTTTTGTTCCTCGTAGGTCAATACGATATCGTTCTGTACGTTAATAAGTTCATATAATAAATGAGCAACATTAAAATCTTTATCATGTACGACTAATATATCATCCATGTATTTCCTATACAGAGTTATCTCATTAATGAGC